GGTGTGGCTATCTTTAAGAAGTTAACCAATATGAAAGAGATATGTATTGATATTATTTGTTTATAAGTGATGTGTTTGTATTTTAATTTCAATTTGATTATTAAAGTGTCAGGGTTATGATTGAGAGTTATTTATGTATGTTGTAGGTTCCAGAAGTAGCCCCTCTCAATGAATAGCCACATGTTCCGCAACCACAAGTTCCATGCAAAAAAGAGGATCCTAACATAGGGTAGTCAAGTGGTGGCCTATACAAAGTATGTGTAATGATGTTGACTTATATATGTGACTTTGAGTATTTCTATTTCTAATTATGTGTACATGATGATTTGATATTATTTTTTTCAGTCATGGGAAGAAAGATTTTCATCCCTCGAAAAATCAATGGCCAAAATGACGGATGACCTATCTGGCAAAGTAGATTATGTGATTACCATGATGGAGAAAATCGTTGATGTAGTGGAATTCATGAAGCAATCCATGAATAAATGTGATGGAGAAAATAAAGATGAAGAAACCTTAAATGAATCCAAATATGATAATCAGACGTGGATTCCGCTTCAAGTGGTGCAAACACCGGATATAAAGTCTATGAAACATACACCGTGGCAGCATTCGAATGCTATTGTAAACACATATCACCTTCAACCGGCTTCACACTCATGCACCCAAAAAAATTACAACCCAAAGCTGCAACAAAAGTATATTGCAAAGGTGCTGCGAAGAAACTCTAAGCGAGAAAGCCAAGTAAATACTTGAAATCACCATATGATATTTTCAAGGTATGATAGTCATTATAAAATCCATATTTTTTGTAATAAAAGTATATATTCCAAATCTCTAATCTTGTTTGTGCAAGCAACAACTTTATTTGAAGAAGTATGAAAATACTATCTTGAAGAAGGACAAGACAGATATAGCAGCGGTATAACACTTCAAACTTAATTGTGGTTTTACATGATTACAAGATTAATCAATAATGAATTATAATACTGCTCTATGTGTGTTATCACAGTTGGACAATAATGGAACTTTGTTTGACAAGGAGATGGAGGAAGCTAGATTGGACATGGAGAAAACCGGAAAGAAGACGGAGGAAGCTGTAAAGATGGGTGATGAAGATGAGGTGAATGCAAATGAGGATGAAGAGGAACAGTTGGAGGTAGGTGGAAATAAGGAAGAAGAGGAGGTGAATGCAAATAAGGATGAGCATGAGGAGATGGAAGCAACTGGAAATAAGGATAAAGAGGTGGAGATGGAGGAAGCTAAAAACGTAGAAGATGACAAAGCTATAAATAAAGATGAAGAGGAGGTGAATGCAAATAAAGATGAAGAGGAGAAGATGGAGGAAGTTGTAAATAAGCATGAGGCTGGTGGTGTTAATGTATATATGGTTGAAAAAATAACAAAGGATGATGAGAAGGCCGAAGTGAAAATACAAAAAGTTCTGGAAGAAATAACAACTTTTCGCATTCCCTCAATTATCACCGTTCACGAGGTTTAATTTTGTATTTCACATTAAATGTTTGTTTAAACAAATCTTTGTATTGACTTTATTTAAACAATTGTGTCACATTTAATAATATTTTTTATTGTATTTAATAAGCAGATTTTAGATTCCACCAGTTTGTGGACCCCATCAGATGAGGATTATCCACCCATTTATGAAATTAGTGATTTTGATAAAATGTATCTTGAATTACATTTTTGACAACACACTTGACATGAGGTATTTATACTATATACCAATTCTCACATGTTATTCCTATATATTGTGGGAGTATCACCAATTATTAATCCATATTTTTCATTCTTGTATATTGTGGGAGCATCACCAATTATTAATCCATATTTTCATGAAACAATGAGACACTCGTGAGATTTGAAACATGTTCTGCCAATAGATATTCATTTATTGAATCTCTACAACCAAGAAAATAGTTTTTAGACATTGTGAGTTAAAAATGGACATTTATTTATTGTGTTTTCCACTCATTGACCAAGTATTGATTTTGTACATTTTGACATGAAGATAATAGATTTGACATCTTGTATTATTCCGGATGATGTGAAGTTTAATCCTTTTACAAAAAGGTCAAGGTGGTATCTACCCACATGGTTTGCGATAACATGTTTTATTTGATTTTTTTAATGTTGATTCGTTGACTTTTTAAATCTTGAATATGTACAATGTGGGTTAATGTATACCCATTTTTTACCTTCAATACCCAGCAAAAAGTACTTGGAAAGGAAAGGCAGGGAAACAAACAAGAAAAAACAATCGGATTGCTTGATTGTCAAAGGTACTTTGTTTCGGATTTCAAGGATTGTGATAAGGTACTAGATGACCCATTTTTATTTTTTTTTTGTTTATAATTGCTCATTTATAGAATAATTAATATCTTGTATTTCTTTATGTAGATATATATACCCATGAACGACAATAACACCCATTGGTATTTATGCATGGTGGATGTAGTGAAAGAAAAAGTTTTATTATTTGATTCTCTACCATCATATCCGAACAATATCCGTTATTCTGCTGTTGCAAATGTGATTAAACAATTAGATCAAGTCCTTGAGATTGTCATACCTAAGTACATGCCAACATTGACCAAATGGCACATATATGGAGTGGATTGGGCTCCTAGGCAAACAAATAGCTATGACTGTGGAATATTTGTCATAAAAGAGATGCATGCTCAATTTTTGGATCACTCATTCAAAATTATGGTATGATTGCTATTCTCCTAATTTAATATTTTACAGCAAACATTAAATTTGTATATTTACCATTTGTCAATTTAACTATGGTTATTGGTTATTGTTTTTAGGATGAATCCAATACGATGCGTCAGGATCTAGCATTCAAAGTTATTACTTACATATACAACGAATCAAGAAATAAGATCATAAGCAAGACACAACAATACCAACAAAAGAATTGTGGTAAACAAAAGAATTATGGTAAAAATCGGAGATAATATGTATGACATATTTTTTTTTTGTATACAAAAGTTGAAGTCATGTATAGTGTTTATGGCCTTCATTTAGTGGCACATACTGATTTTTTTGTATAAACAGAAATAGCTAAATTGGAATCAATTCTTTTTTGCCAATGTTTTGCTTAATCAATTGTCTTGTTTTGGTGAATCAATTTTTTTTGCCTTTGTTTTCCTAGCCATGGGGTGGTGGTTGTATTTTGTTGGATTATATTTTTTTTTTTTGCCTGTGTTTTGCTGATTGAGGTTGGGTGATTTTGGTGATTTGTGGGGTGGTGGTTGTGATGTTTGATGTGCAAAAATATTTAGATACTATTCCTTTTTTTGTGCAGGCCATTTTTTTAAATGGATCCTTGGCGTTTTGTCATCCTTTGTTGATGAGAAGGATGAGGAAAATGAACAGAAATATGAATAATGTGGAGTCATTCTTTATATATGGCTACAGTAGCCAACAAACCATTGTCACTAACCATTCTTACCCATCATTCTTACCAACCATTCTCGTTCAAATGGAATCCAAAGACTTTGACAAGTAGTTATACAAGCAGAATTTTTTTATTTGCAATTTCTTTGTTTGGTAGGGACTATAAGATATAACATAAGTGTATAACATAGTGTACCTATATTGTTTTTGAGATAAATTCTATTCATCTTCTTCGTTTTCATCATCCAAGCGCCTCAGGCTACTCTATGTGATAGTTACTTATATATAACATAAACCTGAATTGACATGCACAGTTATACAAATAGCAGTGTGCACGTCATTTTCAGATGTAGGTTACATATAAATAGTTTTATTCACAATAGTAACAATGGTAAAGAGGTGAAAGTTTGTTGTTAGAGAGATATACTTTTTAAATGAGATATACTTGTTGCAGGTATGTGCTGTGTTTTATGATAGATTGTTCTTTTATTTTTTTTCATAATGTGACTTAATTCATATTAATATATTCACATAGTAAGAACGGGTTGTCGGATTTTATGGCCATATGATGTATAGTGCTATTTCAATAAAACTCAATGCGAGAATTATTACACAACCCCTTGCCCTATGGCGTGCACACCTTCAGAAAGCGTTGACAGAGAAGGGTAAGCAATTGCAGCTAACAAAAGGAATCCTTACGAAAAAAGCAAAAAAAAAAAGTGGAATTCTTACCCAAAAAAAAAATTGGTGTACTTCCCAACTTTATTTCAGTTTTCCTACTATTTTGCACTACCAGAAAAATCTGGTAACATTACTCCAAAAAAGAGGCAATATTACCAAAAAACAATACAGGGAACCTTGAAAAGTGGTAGTCTTACCCAAAAAAAATGATATTCTTATCCCAACTCAAAAAAGCAATACCCACAAATCTGGTAACATTACAACACCCACATTGAAATGTCTTTAATTTTTTATTCTTTTAAGAAAAGAAAATTTTATTGAGATATACTTGTTGAAAGAGCCATATTTGGCTTTAATCCTTCAAGATACACAAATATTAACAACATTATAATAAAAAGACTACTACAACTGTCCCACTGCGTACTCATCAATGACATCGACCATGTAATGGATCTCATACCCCTTCTTCTTTAGCTTCTCAAGGAATTGTAGGACTGCGTCATGGGCTTCCACACATACGAAGGTCCTTGCTGAGACTTCCCTGGGCTACACTACCTTGCCAAAACAGTTTCACATTTCTGCATAGGCAGAAATTAAACGAGAACAGTCATATGGCACGCTAACTATGATTTGAAAAAACTTAATTCTGCCATGATAAATAGATAGTTAAGTATGACTTACAGAACCCAAATGGCCAGACTGTCCACAGATATAGCAGGAAACTAGTCTTGGACTCTTATTTATATATTCAGCACAACAGAGATGGCCAAAATCCTTGCAGACATAGCACTAACTTTGCTGTCAACATGGAAACACACAATAGTCACAAAAGAGGAATCCAAATTCATTTTGCTATAATGAGGACTGGACCATTTTCCATTGGTGGCATGGAAAGTTTATGCAAAGGTTAATACCCTGAGATCATCAGAACTGTACTCATTGCTGCTGCATGAGAACATATTGTGTCCTGAATTGCCACATCTTAAACAGATATCTAAACTTTGATCCTCTGCTGCATTTTTCTTTGAACAAACTTTGGTGAGACAACCTTTTCGATTGTAGATATGTGGTCCATACTGCTGCAAGACCCCAAACAACAGGAAAAAAATAAAAAAGAAGAGGAAATGCGAATGAAATCCAATAAAACTTATATTTCGTATGACTATTAAAAGTATACAAAATCAACAAAACAAAATCAGCTTCAACACTTAACACACTGAACTTCATCCCGTTTCAAACAAATCAACACTTAACATTCAGCCATACAAATTACCAAAACCTTCAACACTTAACCCTCTTGATTGAACACCATTAGCTTCTATTTACGCAACACAGGCAAACCTTGCTGATCATAACAGCATATCCAACCAGCCTCCTGCTCCGAACAACATATCCAGCCAGTGAGCAACATAATTCACTTCTCTATAAACATGCATCAGGCAAAATTTCAAACTGGTCAAATAAAATAGTGTTTTGTAAGTATATGAAATGAGATAATAGATAAAACTCTAATTGTGAAAAGATATAAGATGAACTTACTTATTAAAGATGTATATATATAGGATGAGGCTGGGCTAAGTTATTAATATACGATGGGTATAAAAAAATGAACTTAGTAGTTTGCTAATAATAAAAAATTAAATGGGATAAAAAAATTTATGTGGGGTGGAAATAACCCACCCAAATACCCACTAATAAAATACCTAACTCTGTTAAGATAAGTGTCAATACTATACCGAGGCCAACATTATTCTCCCAAAGTTATACAACAAAGCCTCCATCCATCACATGGAGTATAAATGAGGAGGGCATATCATGTAAAACATGGCCCATTTGTAACTACAAACTACTTTATTTTAGCTTACAAGTTTGAACCAAACTAAAGCATGATACACGGATAAAAAATAAATGAACTCAACATTCGCAGCCGTAGATTAAACATTTTACACACAAAAATCTTGCATGAGTTGAATTTACTTTTAAGTAAAACAAGACGCTGGGCAGGGGATAGACAATACCAAGCAATCTCACACTATCAAACTATGCAGTCTTAAAATATTGTGGTATCATGTACATGTTGCAAGACAAAAGTCTGACTTAGGTTTAATACTACAGTTATAACTATTAAGACTAGCATTATTAACACATGAACTTGAGGTCTTACACAAAGCCAGCATAATTTTATTTAACATAAATATGGCCTAATGAATCAAATTCAATATAGTCCACTCATAATAGACTTCAAAAATTTGATAAAATTCTTGGAGTTACCTTGGTGAAGATGAGCAAGTTATAAAACACATTGGAAGTTGAATCTATCAACACTTATATTTCGTATGACTATTAAAAGTATACAAAATCAACAAAACAACGTTAGCTTCAACACTTAACACAGTACTGAACTTCATCCTGTTTCAAACAAATCAACACTTAACATTCAACCATACAATTCACCAAAACCTTCAACACTTAACCCTTGCCATTGAACACCATTAGCTTCTTTTTACACAACACAGGAAAACCTTGTTGATCATAACAACATATCCAGCCAGCCTCTTGTTCCGAACAGCATTTCCAGCCAACTTGTCAACAACATAATTAGCATCTTTATAAACATGCACCAGACAAAATTCCAGACTGCTCAAAATACCTTTAACCTGCCTCACTATATCCAGATAGGACCAAGGGCATTCACAACGTCTCAAAATAGAGTTTACCAGAATCAAAGAAGCATCCTCCATTGGTTTGTTATTAACAGCTAAATATATTTCACAACATCCATTGGTTTGTTATTGAAAGTTAAATACATTTCAGATAACCAAATAACATGAGTGAAACAGACCCATATGGTAAAAAGCATCCTCAATAACATAAACAGTAAGGAGTAGTACAATTACCTCAATAACATAAACAATAAGGAACAGTACAATTATCTGAAAATTTTACAATGGATTTTTGGTGTCACATCATCATATTTTGCTATAAACATCAGGATATTTTTAACTTTTAAGGTTAGAACATGTATAAGCCTAGTAAGAAAGCGAAATATATCACTTACACAAAATTTGGGATAAACTTAAAATCTTGTGGTATCCATCCACTGAAATTGTTGTTTGCAACATTTCTACAAAAAACATAGTGGTGTAAGAATAACTGTCATATTTCCAACTCAAGCCCCGATAATAAGAAGAACTTACAACTCCATCAAAGACAAACTAGCCAGAACATCTAGAGGACCACTTAATTCATTGTTCTGCACATGACTATCAAATGCATATAATATAAGAAACTCAAAAAGAACCCAGCAAAAATATTTCAACTATTAACACTTTATTATACTCATAGGGTAGAAGGATTTGACAATGAACCCTATTTATGTGTGTGTGTGTGTGTGTGTGATAGGAGCAGAGAGGTGGAGAGATAGAGAGACGCTGCTGAATGGTGAGAGCCTGATCAGTGTAAGTCACCCAAATCCAATAGGGACAAGTTCATTTGTGAAGGGATAAATGTAACTTCATCTGCAATAATCATTGACATACATTAGAATGACCACAAAAACTGATAATGAGATAAAGATGCCCAGGATGCACACCCCCAATATCATCCTAATACTGATGCTCTAAACATTGTCTTGTCCCTATTTTTGTTGCAAGGTGTGTTACAAGAATGATAGCCAACTCCATGCGCGTTTCTATACAAGGTTCCTACACAAGAATGAAAACATGTGCATTTTTAGAACAAAAAACCACATTCTATAACGGTTCTAAAACAACACTATATGAGGTACTTCAATATTTCTGTGTACTATATACCCTTATCTTGAATTTTTGACCCAAATGTGGCCCCCGCATCATCTCGATGATGTACATTCCACAATCGTAGCCATTGCTTTGTTTTGGCGCCCATCTTGGCCTAATGATAGGCCATTTATGAATTTGGGTGACATCTTTCAATAAATTAGCAATTAGATGATGGAGTACATTCACATGTCCATGAATACGAAATATGTAGATGATAAATATTGGGATTACACCATTCACAAAATGTAATTTGAGTACACAAACTTTACCGTTTTCACAGTCTGTGTAAATCGGTTATATTTCTTACTAGGATTACGCAATGTGTCGAGAATCATGACCTCCTTATTCTGTACATCTATTACAATTAAGTACCAATGACATTCCCCATCATAGATTGGTACATATATCTACAGTATAAAACATGTAAAACAATGATCATTGAGACATCATAAACATCCATTTATTAATAAGGATGACAATTATAATATATGCAGCAATGTCAAACCTTATCACACTTGTTAATGTCGCGAATGTAATGGCCATAGTTGGATCTAAATTTATCGTCCAAGACACCATTTTCTGACAACTCTATTGCAGCAGCTTGTTGCTACAAAAAATAATCATAACATAGAAATCATAAGCAAAGGCAATGCACAACACATATGAGGTGGAATACTTTACTGAGAACCATGTCGGCAAGTACCATTGCTCCTTATTAATGATGTTATTGAGCTTTTCATCATCCAACATAATCAATGGCAGTGCACTTATTACCGGTTAAGTGAACAAGAAGTTAAGTGTCATTTACTGAATGCTTTAAATCCCACATAATAATTGAAGACAATAAGGGAATAATAGGAATTGCCCTTACAGAATCACACACCCATTCGTTTTCACCCAATGATTCCAAATCTGATCGCTTAAGAAAAAAGTTGTTTTCATCAAACCACACCAACTCCTCCCTGCTTATTCAAGTCACAACATAATTCACGTGTCACTTACAAATTATGACATATATATTTGTTTTGAGAAATTTTGCAATTCACTTACGTTCGAGGCAACTTGTTGTTCAGTATATACACCCACAAATTTTGCTTGTGAAAATCTTGTAAGGTCTCTATGTGAGGGTACCCACCTTTAGGAGGTGGAGGATAAGAGTAATCAACATCTTCGTCCTACCAATGTTATGTACACAAAATTTCAATATTAAAATTAAAAGTGTATAACAGACAATTCTTGAAACATTAAAATTAAAAAATCCTCCTTGTCCACTTGCCTCTCCACTATCAACTAAGAGGACTTTTTCATTCGACTTGTTGCAAAACTTGTCTATTCGGTCGGAAAGCTCTTGTATAAAATTCTTCATTGAGTTAAGCTCTACATTCACTTTTGCCGACTCCTCCCGCATAGCTTGCTTGATAGAGGTTTGACCCACCTCTAATCTTGTAAGCCTTGCTTCAATTTCCTAAGCAAATGAAAAATGTTTGTTTAACTTAACTGACACAATTGAAAATATTGTTGGTAGGAGTAGTTGTTGAATAATACACCTACTTGTTTACGAAACCTTGGTGGACCACCGATGGCTTCATTGACTCTTGATGGATCAGGGCACCCCTCAACAAATGCGACTTCAATCTAATTCAAGGATGCCAAATATCGTATGTGATAAGTAACATGAATAAATTTTTAAAAAAATTAGATTGTTGTGGGGGAATCACACTGATTTACCTTGTCATTTTTGTAACCTCCTAACTTTTGTAGTCGTTGTAGCCTTGTTCTTATATCTTCATCACCCCATGATCCAATCCGTGGGGTTGGTCGAGACAGCAATGGGGCTACAATCTCCCCTATTGGTGTCACACACTCAAGGTAGAAAATCTATATGACACACAACATATGCTTAATAAAAATAAAAGTGCATAAAAGAGTTGGGTAACCAACAGTAACCAAATATAAATGTTACCATGAGAAAAAAAAAATGCAACCATTGACATAAACTTATTGTCTTGACTTGTAATGCTATACCCCCGCAATGATGGAATCAAAGACAAATTTTTCCCAATTCCCACTCTCCAAAGATGAGACATCCAAAAGCATGTGGAGGAGGGAGACATTGGCGGTGGCCTTCATTGTGGGGCACAAAAATCTCCCCACAGAAAATAAAACAAACAAACGTCGAAATTCATCAAAATCTTCATTTATTTTCTCTAGCCTAACCCTATTTCATGCAACAACAACTCATTTTTACCATAAAAAATTGAATTTTTAAGATCCTTAATTAAATCTAGGGAGTCAGTCGTCTTCAATTCAACCCCTCCATAATGTAACCCCAATATCCATTCTACATTCAATGCTGTAAAAATGTAATATTGGTTGTATACGTTTAGAATACGTATATCGGGGTTAAATCTACTCAATATCCATTCACATAAACCCCTTTTCAACTGGTGACTTTTTAGAGTTAATAAACCCCCCAATCCCATTTCCTTGAGACCTTCCTTTTGTACATCACTAAGATCTCCAATTGTTTTAACCAGTATTGAAGGCAAGCATCGGGTTTAAAGAAGATCCTGAAAAATATTTTACAACTTAAAGTTAGTGAATAAACAAATATTGAAATGGTTGAAATTTTAAGGTTGCCAGCAACCTTTTCAGTTTTTTGTCGCTTTATAAGCTCTGGTTTTTCTTGTGTTTTTTCTGACCTCTTCTTCGCCCTGTAACATGCACTTACAGATGTTAACACACTAAAATATAAATGAATTTTTAAAAAAATTATGATGAAGCCATACTTACAATGTAATAATTCAAATTCAATTTATTGTGTACTGACTTGATGACCTCACCGGTGTTTACCATGATTCTATGGTGAGTGAAGTTTCTCCCAGAAGAAAATGCAACCAATTTGCCTACATGATAAGAAAACTTTAAGTTAAAAATACAAACCCTACCTAGAATTTGATAACTTAGAAACTCATGATCTTCCATTAGGGAAAAATGCGATAGAATGAATTTGGGTAACATAACGTGATATCCACCAATGTGTTGGAAACTAAAATGGTTATTATAATTATTTTGTGCCTAAAAACTAATACAAACTTCTAAACAACAATGTCACTATTTTGATTAAGATTACCACTATTTTAGTTAAGAGTACCACTCTTTGTTTAACATTATCACTATTTTGGTTAAGAGTACCACTGTTTTGGATAACATTACAATTTTTTTGATTAAGATTACCACTCTTTTGGTTAAGAGTACCACTCTTTTATCTAAGATTACATGTTGAGGTAAGACCATTTTATTGGTTATTTTTTTGTTAACATGACATTGTTAACATTACTTTTGTTAAGATTACATTTTTTTGGTTAACATTACCACTTTTTTGGTTAAGATTACATTTTTAGGTAAGTACCACTTTTTTTTGTTAATATTACCATTATTTAGTTACTATTACCATTTTTGAGGTTAATATTACCACTTTTTTTACCGCATTTAGCGATCAAGATCGGGGACGCAATCAAAATTGGGATCAAGTAGGGATCATGGATCAAGTGCAGGTTTGCCATCAATCAAGTGGGATCCGATCAAGTTAGCGATTGAGATCAAGTGAGGTTAGCGATCCTTAATCAATCAAGAGTGGGATCAAGTGAGGTTTGCGATCAAGATTGGGATCAGGTGAGCAAGAGTAGCTATTAATAGCTTCACACCGATAGGTGCAGTAGATCAATAGTGGGATCAAGGGATGTTTTTTTTCTTAAATCCCAAATTTTATTGCATAAATCTCAAAATTACAAGAATCAAAAAAAAAAAATTGTTTAACCAAAAAAACAGAATCTGTTTTAATAGAAAACTGTATTTTTGATTTATTACAGAAAACAGAACAACAAAGCAAAACAGGTTTTCTGTATAAATGCAGTATTCCTGAAACTGCTGGGTAACATCCTACCAACTCAATTCCAGCAAACTAGCCTAGTTTAGCTGCTCAGTCAACTGCACCAGTACATAGAACAGACTGTAGTAAAGCACCAGCTCCATTTTGTCATCTTCACCCCAGCATACCAATTCATTCCAATTTTCAACTGCTCAGCAATCTTAGTACTAAATTACCACAACCATTATCATTCTCATTTTATGTATAAAGAACAAAGATATTTTAGATTTTTGACAAAAACACTACTGTTAGTTCAACTATAATTACATACAATTGTCACTACTGCTATTTCAACTATTGTATCAAAAATCAACAACTACAATTATATACAATTGTCACTTCCTAGCTATTTCTTTGCTTTTCATAAAAAAAGACTCAATTCTATCCAACCTACTATCCATCCTCTTCAGAGACTCCTTTATTTCATTTTGAGTATCCTTTATTTCATTTTGAGAATTTTCAAATTCCTCCATCTTTCTAGCCAATCGTACCAACAACATTCCATATACCTGCAATGCATCAAGAGGAAGACCAGCTGTGGAAGAATTTGGGACACCAGTTGTGGAAGAATTTGGGACACCAATGGTTGAAGAATTTGGGACATCCTGGGTTTGGGCTTCATCATCCTCAACTTCAACTTCATTCTCGACTTGTGGCTATAGTTGCTAAGTTGTATTCTTCTGCCCTTGCGCCAAACTCTTCTTTATTGTCCCACCATAAATTGGATTCATGGGAGTGGAATAAGTGTTGCTTGAGTGAACCACAACTCCACAATCCTCCATAATCTTTGAAATCAAAATTGGGAATGGGAGACATTGTCGCCTATCCTTCATACCCTGTACCAAAATAATTTCATCAACTATTAAACAAGGTAAATCTATATATATACCCTTTTCAATGGCCTACAAGAGATGAGCTCGATCAAGTCCAAACTTAGCAATATGTCCTTTTGGTATAATATTGTACCCTACTATAAGATTTAACATCTTATATTTGGGAGTAAGGTCTTGCTGAAAAAATTCTGGATCGTCAACACTCTCACTAAATTTATTAGGTAAACCCTCAATTTTTGCATGAACATCTTTCAGCTTAGGTATGTCCTTAAAATTCTTGAATGGATAGGTAAGGGTATTGTTAAAAATTAAGGGTCGGCGAACTCCCAATATTTTTGAAACTAACTATGAAGTTACTTCTACTTCAAAAATTACGTTCCTCACAAGGGACTTCAACTTGTAATCATCTCTATCAATATCATGCATATTAGAATAAAATATCTTCACTAATGTATTATATACTTTATCAGTCTTCTTGATATCTACTGCAGAATTCCATTGATGAAGATAAAAAATAACATCACATCCTACCTCTTTTAATTGATCTAGTAAAACACCCCTCTCCAATAACAAAGGCCTATAATTAATGTAGTTCTCATACCACTGTTTGTAATCTTTGTTGAAGAAAGATATTTCCTCATTGCATATGGGGTTGGATGAACTTGGATTGGTGTTGGATGAACTTGGTGGATGATTAACAGTGGGATTGGTGGAGGTGGGATCAATAGTTGGATCCATGGAGGAAGGATGATTACATTTCTTCTTCAAGGAGGAGGAGGGAGGATCATTACAGCTTTTCTTCCTCTTCATTTTTTCACTGGTATCCACAACTTTTGGCTTATATTTCTTTCTACCGGTCATTCTACTGTAACAAAAAAAAAATCTAGTAAAAAAAGCAATAACATGGAAAATTATCTATTATTTTGAGCAATAACAATTGAAGACGTGAGGAAGATAGGATTGCTTGAACCATCACCCACAAAAATCATAATTCGTTCAATCCCAAAACACATCCCTTGTGCAACTATTTGTACAAAAGATTTTATGAAATTCAAAGAGACAGACACAACTATGTATAAAAAATTATGACAAAATAAACTTGTTTTTTGGCTAATTAAACAAAAAAAAACAAAGAAAATAAAACTACCATAGAGGAGTCGAATTCTCATGACAATATACACCCCACACGTAAGTTAGACAACCACGACTCCCCAAGTCGCAGACACCTTTCTTTCCCTTCTCTGATGGAAAAACACGATGAAGGTTTTTCGAGACGATTAGGGCACCAAACTTTGAAGCCTTCACCTGATTTAGGGTTTTGGGTATGCAATCAGAATGAGTTTTCATGAATTTGGGCTTAGATTTGGGGTTAGATCGCTGATTTAGGGTTAGATTTGGGGTTAGATAGCTAGTTTAGGGTTAGATTTGGTGTTAGATGGCTGATTTAGGGTTTGAGGAGTTAGGGGGGAATAGAAGAAAAAGTTTGATCGCTATAGTGATCGATTAAACTTGGATCCAGATCGCGCGATTGAATCTGGCAATTGCAAAAGAAAACGTGATCGCTATAGTGAGCAATCACAATCCATCATCCAGATTTTATCTTTAGTAAGGATCACTTATACCTCAAAATTTTCACTTTTTTTTCAATTTTTGCCTCATATTTTTCATATATTACACCCTCAACTATTAATTAATTTCATATTCCCCCAATTTATTTTACCTATTTTAATTTAACATATTTGATAACTTTGTTATAATTTTTTTAGCGTTAAAACAAATGTTGTAATAATTTTACCTTTCCCCCAAATTATTTTACCCATTTTAATTTAACATATTTGATAACTTTTTTATAATTTATTTAGCGTTAAATACAAAAGTTGTAATAATTTTACCTTAACCCAAAATATAACCCCAAAAAATAGCAAATTTACCCAAAAACATTTGTGATAATGTAACATTTTAATTATAGCAATGTGCTAAACTTGAATTGTAATTTCCTCTAATATTTTTGAAATTTAATGTCACTGTAAAATTTTTCTTATATTTTTATTTCATGTTTAAATATGATAAATAATTATAATTTTTTAAAACTAATTTTAGTTATTGAAAATTTTTTATTATTTTTTTATTTAGGTTTAAATCAGATAAATAATTATCATTTTTTAAAACTAATTTTAATTTCTATGATATATTCGTTTTTTTTAAGTGTCTAGCGCTTGTATTTATTTTTAAAATATATACCAGTTAAACTGGTTATAAGCTTTGATAACTTTATATGAGTACACGTGTCAATGTTATATTTTGTTTTAATTGTCGGTATCGTACCGAATTTTACTTTTCGGTATTGAAGCCAACTCCCATTTTGTTGCATCTGTTCTGCTGCACCTCCTTGGCTCTGGGTCTGCTTTCCTGCCAAAATCCATCTGAAAACATCCCCACCCAATTGGATTACCCTGCGTGCGCACATTCTTTAAAGACCTCGATATTTTTATGCTGTGACCCATTATAAACATATCTCAGAAGTAAGGATTAAAATTTTGTTTCGGTTACCTAAGAAATGGAAACGTTTCAAACTGTTTCTTTCTTCTTTTTTTGCTTTTTGCTAAATATAAATTGAGATTAAGGGAAAAAAAGAGTACAAAATACAATCAAGCATCAAGACTTGATGCACGCCCGAAGGCCATACAAGAAAATTGTCAACCTAGTCTAACAACTTAAAGTAGCTCATAGAGATTAAGTAGACTAGGATACAAAGAAAGTCATCTCGCAAGTTGTGAGGCTACGCAAGGAATATACCAATCTATTTGCACCACCCTCTTCCTCTAGTGTTATTTACGCCGTCTAATGACAATTCGTCCCAAACCCTTTCGTCCAAATGATGATTTGCAAGATTTTAATCCATATCCTTGAAACATCTTGGTTAATGCAAGTTTTGCTGAAGCCAGTTACATGCAACATTCATCCATTGAATCCTCAGATTCATTGGAGACTATGTCGTGCACATCATCCTCTTTATTAGATTCATCCCCCTTGCTTTCCATTTCTTTATCATGTTCCATCTCAACCTTGTTGATGTCTTCCTCAGCTATGGATTGGAGTTGGTTAGGTAGATTCACTGAAGGTTCATGATTGTCTTCCTCTTGCATGACTCTGAATTGATTCTCAAGTGGAACTTCTGTATTAAGGGATAATGACTTTTCTTTTGGCCTAGCAATTTCTTTCACTAGCGTAGAATAACAAACTTGTTGCTTGTCTGTACCTTCTAGACTTTTGGCAGTGTCATGATCCTTGAGATGGGGCTGATTTTGTTCTGTAGAACCCGTTGAATGTAAATTACCTTCAGCCTTTTTCCTCCAATCTATTTTGCCCGTAGGAGTAAAGTTGTTACGAGATTGCTTAGAATTGGAATTAGCCATAAGATTTTCCTTGTTGATCACTCTTCTTGGCTTTTTGTGTTGGACTAGAAGCCACGAACCAAATGTTTCGACCTGTTTCATAATAAAAAATATGATAATTATTTTTTCAAAACATTAGCCGAAATAAACCAAAACATCTTGAAATATTTTAAAACATTTCAAAACAATTGTGTAAATATGTTGAAAGAGTACGAAACACCTCAAAGCATTATAAAACACCTTGAAGTATTAAAATTTAAATTCCATTATTAATTCGTTTCGGTCTTCTTAGAAACGAAAACGTTTTGGCTGTTTCAATCGTTTCGAAACAAAGAACAGAAGAAAATATAACACACTGAAATAGAATTGTGGCACTAAAAAAATGAAAAATATAGAGCTATGGAAGTACAATATTCCTTGTATGCTTACCTGGTTGGTGAGAAAAGAGCCCCGAGGACATTGAAGAGTCCAAACTTCTTTTGACAGTCGAGATGAGATCAGTTGGTATTGCAACAAGCTCTTCCCACTGAGATGCTGTGAATGGACAGCTGTTTCTTGCACTCATTATCCATATCCTTGGCCCTTTGTTTCAAAAGAATAACTTGAAAACGGACCAAATATACGAAGTAGGAGGAGGGAAAACAAGAACCTGCCTCAAAGGACTTCTGAGAGAGAGAGCAAGCAAGGGCCTTTTATTGGGCTGGATGTTTTGGTTGCAGAATCTTCTTGTATATGTCCCTAAAATAAATCAAACTAATGGACCTCTAGGGGTACTGCTTCTGGCACCACACTGCCTCCACCTTCCCCCTGAGTCTGCTCTTATGACAGCCAACTCTGTTGCTTCTGCTCCACCTCTGCTACTTTTGTTTCTGCTATCCATAAACGAATGTAGAGAAATATAATTATAAATGTACAGAGGATGGGTACTTGGCTTCAGGCAATATCTTGGCAAAGAAAAAATACATTGTATATACATTGTACCGCATTCCAACTTTGTTTCCCCTACATCCATGTCATGATCATGAAAATATGAAATGAGGAAGGGTGAAATTTCTGAGTCTAGGGGCGAGAGGAATTGAAAGTTCGCTCGACCACCTGGAAAAGAAGATTAAGAAAGAAAGATCTAACATGATCTTTGAACTGACTTTGGGAATAGGGGGAGGCACATTTACATAAAAAAAAAGCCTTCAATGCTTTTTGTAAAAAGCACCGCACCATATTCACCTCCATAAAATAGTGTTGCCGAAACAAAGAACTACACAATCGTTAACATGGCATGTATTATGTTAAAAGGTGAAAACATGCCACCAAAATATGGGAAAGGGAAAAAACTGCACAATAAATTGCCTAGAGGGCATACCTTTTACTATGTGTTCATCGGTTGTGACACTCAAAATGAGCCCCTGCTTGTGCATCACATTTCATGTACTTGTGCATTATGAAACTTGGAGTCTCCATCATATGAAAGTCTGAGGGTGAGCCCAGATTACTTCCATGGACAGTAACCTTTGGTTTTGATTTCCACTGCATTTATTTCAAGCGTACACTGTATCCTTGGAAATTTTTTTTTTTGGTTTCATCAATTCCTTTCAATTTGTTCTCCAGGGGGTTCAGTGTCAACAAATACTCAGAAGCTCACATCGATCATCCTATGCCAGAGTGAAGATCTGTGTCACATATGGTATTAGTGCTCCTCATCTGTGCCATTAAAGATGACAAAGTTCTATATATCACCAATGTTTGGGGCTGCATTCCATCTCCGCAGAGAAAAACAACTACCTGATTCTTAACCTCAATCCAGCTGCATCCCGGTTGCTTCTCTGCTCCACTCTCTTTCATTGAAACCCTCACTCTTTCCACCTCATCCCATCTCCCTGCTTCAGCATTCATGTTTGACAAGAGCACGTAATTTGTAGTGTTATTGGGTTCAAGTGCATAAAGCCTCTCAGCAGCAAGCCTGGCAAGCTCTACATTCTTTTGTATAAGACACGCCCTAAGTAAAGCACCCCATATTCCTGCATTGGTCTTGATATTCATTTTCCTCACCACTTGAAATGCTTCCTCTAACCTCCCCGCTCGTCCAAGCAAGTCAACCATGCAAGCATAGTGTTCAGCCAAAGGTTCAATGCAGTACTTTTGAGTCATGCATTCAAACAAATTCAAACCCTCTTCAATTAAGCCAGCGTGACAACATGCAGACAGAATTCCAACAAAAGTAACTCGATCAGGAACCACCTCTTCTGCCTCCAAATCTTTGAAAAGTTCAATGGCCTCTTTCCCATATCCATTGAAGGCATAGCCAGCAATCAAAGAATTCCAGGATATAACATCAATGCAGAAAATTTCACTGAACACGCGCTTAGCACTTGAGATCCTTCCACACTTGGCATACATTGTGATTAAGGCATTGCTGACAAACAGATCTATGGCATAACCGATCTTCACAACAATTTGGTGAAGCTGCTTTCCAACTTGCAGAGCTGCAATATTGGCACAGGAAGCTAGCCCAGACGCAAAAGTAGATTGATCAGGTTTTTTACCATCTTTTCTCATCAAAACAAAACACCTGAGTGCATCAACATTCCATCCATTTTGGGTAAAACCTGAAATTAAGGAATTCCAAGAAATTAAATTTCTTTCTTTCATCTCCTCAAACATCTTAATTGCTCTCTTCATTTGTCCTACTTGAGCATAACCAGCAATCATAGTATTCCATGTTACTATGTCTTTTTGGACCATCTGTTTGAAGAGATTGGAAGCTTCGTTCATTTTCCCACAGCTAACGTACCCCCCAATCATTGTGTTCCAACAAACAACATCTCGGGGGTCTATCTGATTGAAAATTTGACAGGCTTCATCCATCATTTCATTCTGCACGTAACCTGCGACCATTGCTGTTTGGGCCCCAACATTTTTATATGGCATGCTATCCAATAATTTCTGCGCTTCCTCAAGTTTGCCAACACGAACATATCCATTAATCACAGTAGTCCATGATACAGCATTCCTCTCCAGCATTTCTTTGAAAAGCCTCACAGCCTCATCAACTTGGTAATTCTGGACGTAAGCAGCTATCATCGCATTCCAAGCAACCACATTTTTATCCGGCATCCTGTCAAACAACCTCCGAGCTTCCAAAATCTGACCATTCCTCGCGAACCCACTTAACATTGTGACCCAAGAAACAACATTTGGGTTAGGAATCCTCTGAAAGAAATACCAAGCAGAATCGAAATCACCCACCTCAATAAAACCATCAACCAATAGATTCCATGAATACACGTCCTTATATGTCATTTCTCCGAAAAATTTCATGCCTAAACGCATTTCACCATTCTGGGTATAACCCGCAAGCATTGAATTCCACGAAATCATATCTTTAACTGGCATTTCATCAAAAAGTTCTCTAGCTTCCTGAAGCCGCCTATGCTTCGCATAACCAGAAATCAATGCGTTCCAACAAGCCGGGTTCTTCTTATCAGGAAGCAAATTAAACAAATTTCTGGCCTTCTCAAGGTGCCCATTACGTGTATAACAGGTAATCATCAGAGTCCATGTAAATAGGTCTTTATGGGGCATTCTGTCAAATAGTTGGAAGGCTTCGTCAAATTTGTCATTGTGCAAATACCCAGCAATCATAGTGTTCCAAGAAACCAAGTTCCTAGATGGCATTCTACCAAAAAGGTCTCGTGCATCACTGATTCTACCGTTTCTGGCGTAGGCAGAGATCATCGAATTGTAGGTGACAGTGTTCCGGAGACTCATTTGATTGAAAACCTTTATGGCTTCTTCGATCCGACCCGATTTTCCCGACTGGGTTATCTTATTATTCTGCTGAAATACAAGACTTCCATTTTCGGCAATTGATTTGAGCCTTGATTTCATCGTTGTGGGTGTAAACTAATCTAATTTCCACTTCTCGCATACCCACTATAGACCGAACTTACCATTGGGATACGATATCAGAGTCTAGTTGTCAGAGGGTGGTTAGATTTGGTTAGCAATTAAAACCTCTCTTCAAGTGTCATATATTTTCTCGTACTAAAATATGCAGGTGGTGTAACAGGATGTGCACTGTAAGGATTGCTTACTGTTTTCTATGCTCAAAAACGCATGCTCCTTTTGCCTTTCTGCTCAACCAACTCCAGTTTCATATATTAATCAACGAGCAATGTTATACTTGTAGAATTTCTCTACCAACTCTGCATCCGAAATGATATAGCACTGTTATCGCGCCAAATTGTAAGAATTTATTATCGTATACGAAATTTAAAACTTCTAAATTATTAAGTTTAAATCATGTCTAAATTATATTCGTTTTTTAGATTTCTTTCACGGAGCGACAAAGTCTTCGTCTCCTTATTTAAAGTAATAGACGGCTTTTAATGAGATAATTCAAACTAAGTTAAGAACTGGGGAGGGATATAACATGTCCATTTATAATGAATCTAATGAGCTATACTATTATGGGTTGCAATTAAATTATGACCTACATTTTATTGTATCAATCACATCAAATAAAAGGATATACACAAGTTCATCAAAATATATTGCTTAACAATATTTGGTTCATCTCATTGAACCATAAATTCAACCAATTTTTTACAAATCCAAAATTAACTATCAATTAATAGAAATTCAATATGAAAAAATTTCAACATTCTCCCACTTTTGCAACATTAATTGTAGCTATTTAAAAAAATTTAAAATTATTTGTTGAAAAAATCAACTCTTGGGCTAATCAAATAAAAAAACTCAATGTAGCCATAAAATAAAATAAATGCAGTCTTGAGACAACATTTCAAACATGATCCGATACAATAAAACTAATATTTTTGAACCATGTCGATCTTTACATCATTTATTGACATAGGACTAGTCTACGATTACAAAAAATAATAATTTTATTAACATGGATCTAGATGTGATAGTGTATCAAGAAAATAACTTCTCAATATGTGATATGATAAATATATTATTTTCATTGTCAGTTCTCTAAATGATTTCTCTTTAACAACACGCTTCAACAATAAGTTAGTATATCTCCAAACTTAAAATCTCAAAGTTTTTCTCAATGATGTAATCAGAGACATGCTCATTGATAAAAATGGTCATACTTAAGACAAATATCAAGTCTTAAGATTTTGTATAAAATGACATATCATAAATGTGCACATATAAAACATAGCAAGAATATTGTGCTAATAATAAGGATAATCATTCAAATATTTATTATTTATCAAACAAATATATCTCAAACATAATAAGGAGCGAATATTACATATCGAATTAAATCAATACGAAAATTCTTAACATATAAATAAACTCTCACTAACTAAGTACATCTAAAGATCCAAAAATATTCACGTTGTCAACATGTTTCTTAAAAGTTACAGATTTCTGTCCCTTAATTAAAAGATCAGTAAGCATTGATTCTATATCAATATGTTTAAGCATACTGTCACATTTCTTAACAAGGTCCTTGACTGAAAGATATTTAATTTGCATATGCTTAGATCCACTAGAATGTCACTTTTCTACACTATTATCACTTTAAATTATTAGTGGTCTAAAGATGAAATCAATAATCATAAGCTCTGAAATAAAATTTCTTAACCATATATCTTGTGTTGCAGCTACATAACAAGCTACAAATTCAGCTTGTATAGTGGAAGAAGTAGTGAGAGTTTGTTTAACACTCTTTCATGTTATTATTCCTCCAGCTAACATGAAATAAAGTAGATTTTAAATCATTCAGACAACCAGAAAAATATGAATCTGAGTAACCAATCACATCAAGATTATAAACTATCCTATAAAAAAGCATGTTATTTTTTGTCCTTTGTAACTTTCTTAACTATCACCTAGTGATCTAATCATAGTTAGAAAAATACCTACCAAGAACACTAACAACAAAGGCAATGTCTTTTTGTAAAAAAACTTATAGATTTTGACCTTAATAGGACAACCCCAGACATGAAAATAATTAAGACTTGGTTTCCTATTGGTCCGATTAGACCTTTTTTATGGTAATTTACTTAACCGATTAAATCTCTACCGGTTTGCATAATGTTCTTTTACTTTAGGGGAGCTCTCATTGGTAAGTTTAGGAGGTTCAATTTTTTGAAAGGCTAAGTTTATATTAGCAATTCTCATGACAAACTCAATATCCTATTTTCATCTCTTATAATTAGAACTAGTCAGGACCTTAATGTTGACAATATTGTTATTCACAACAAAAAAGACTGTTCAAAACAACAAGAATACAAACATTTAGCAAAATTAGATAATAAATAAATAAAATATGTTTTGAACATAACAAGTCACATTTTATTAAGATAGTCCAAATACATTATTACAAACTTTCATTTAGTGAGAGAATGCAATATATTATAGGTTCTCTCTTTCATGAAATTAATCAATGATTCTTTTTAAAGGAGAACGTTATTTTTTATTTTATATTATAAATTTTCTATTTTACAGGCTATGAAGCATTTAATTTAATGAGTGAAACTTTTTAATTCGTTTGTAATTTGTAAGGGAGTCTCAAAGTAAGTGATAATAATAGATTTCGGCTTAGACTACCCATTCGAAGCCCAAAACACCCGATGGGCCCCCTGGTTACATAACAGCCTAAACGGCCAATTCACAACATGCCCACCTCGTCATAAGAATGGGCCACAACCCAAGAAAGGAAGTCTAATAACATCCAGATCGGTATATGCCTACTCGGTCATATCAAGCTCGAAGGAGTAGACTAGCTCGAGAACTAGGAGCTCAGTACGCGATAGATCCCTAGCCGCTCCGATCATGCCAAGTGTTCAGGGGACAACTTCTAGAGCCCCTAACGAACACACACTCTCTGATAAAGGGAATATTTGTACATATAATGTTTTGAGGATCGTGGGCATAACATACATCAGGGTAGCAAACTGCACTACAAGACAAAAGAAAAGAGGACCACAAAATCAACCAAGAGAAGGAATAATTATAGAAAACCCTAGATAGCCACATGTATAAATAGAAGACAAAAGCACTATATAACGGAGTTTCAAAAAAATTGTATTCACAAAATCCTTTGTGCAAAGGCTCTAAACCAAGAAGCCTACTGTAATCTTCTTCTTAAAGTAATATAAACCCTAAAGAGCTAGAGTCTCCATTGCAGTAAATGTAGTCCTGGTCTTTCGGCTAAGGCGAATCACTTATATCTTGTTTTTTGATCCAACATCATCCCTTACTTCCTTATTAACCCTAATTTTCACACTACCCCCATTAGGCCTTACACAATCACTGTTTTGCAATTGGACATATTAATTTCAAGCACAATCAGTTAGATTTATGAGTTTCTATTATGCTGACAAAGTATTTATAATTTTGCTTCAATTATAAGGATTCAAAATTAAATTACTTTTGGGTTACTATTTAAAAAATACGAGGTGTTAGATGAATGTTATGCCCTTATCTTTTGTAAGAATCATTTTGACGATGAAGAGGGCTTTGTAGTTGAGATTATTCTAAGAAAATCCTCTTAATTTCAATACATTGGGTCGTTGCTTTTAACAATTTGTTGTGTTGAAGTTTAGGGACTTCTTTTTCTTTTTCTTTTTCTTTTTCTTTTTCGAGTTCTAGACTTACTTTTGTGAATAATTTGGATTAGTTTTGATTTTTGTCATAATTATTCTATGTGAGTTAGGTTTTAATATTACAGTTTTTTCCATACATTTGATGGACTAGATTAATTATTCTACTTCATGTGAAATTGTTTTGATTTGGTATTTATTTCACGGGTTTAATAGAAGTTTAGGATGTATGTGGTCACTTTTGTAAGATATAATAATTATGAAAATATCTAAATTGTGTAAATTGGGAAAAAAAAATTCAGGTCATGTTTTTAGAGGAATTGTTATCCATTTTTTAAAATTTATTAGGCCTAGAAACTTATTTAGGGTCTGGAATGCGCTTTGTATCACTTTTATCTTGCTATTGCTTATTTTCTTAGTTGTCAATTTTTTTTTTTGTTACACAATGCCTTTTGGGTGATGAAAGCGCTCTAGATATAAACAATAATTTTATTTTTTGCAGTTTAGATTTATTCAGCTTTTCTTAATTGTCATTTTGATCATTGTTTATTAAAATTTGTTACACATTGCCATTTTACATGGACAAATGTTTACAAATTTTTTACGAGTAACATAGTATCTTTAAACACAAACAATTACTAGTATATATATATATTGATGTTAATCAAGCATAAGTACGAAAGATTGATGGCAGCATGATATTCTCCAAACTTGCCAAAACATTGCTTTGAAAGTAGCCTTTGCCCTAGGGAGTGGCCCTCTCATCTTTAAGCTCGGTTATAGTGGCATCCATAGCTACCACCTTGGCCTTCTCGACATTGAGCTACTTGTGGTAGGTGTTGTAGATCACACCCAGATCTTTCAAGCCATCATTTGTTAGCTTGACCACGTCCTAGGACTCCACCAACTCCTTTCGAGCTGCCATCAGGTTGTCCGTCTTCCACTTGATCTCTCTCTTAAGTCTCTCCTTGGACGAGTTCAACTCTTTAACTTTCTTTTTGAGGTCCTGACCCTCGAAGAATAGGTCAGCAACCTTAAACTCAACGGCCTTAAGGGACTGCCTAGCATCCTTGGCAACTTTCTATGAAGATCGAACTCTATTCACCAAAGCACTAATATGTATTGCCACCTACAAAGGCAAGATTGAACTCGAACTTAGAAGCTAGCAAGAGAGCCCCTTCAAACTAAGGTGGAAATCGAGAACTTAGCGAGGTCATCCCATATAAAGCAGTGGCAACTGAAGTGAAGAGCGACATGGAGGAAACCTCGTGTATATCAGCTTCAGGGATTATAGAGAACATGGAGTTGGTAGCTAGCTTCACGTCACCTGGAAAGGAACGTTCACCTTTAGCCAAGCTGGCTGGAGGAAGAGGAGGTATGGCCCCAACCAAAGTCACAATCACATCCTTAGACAGAGGCAAAAGGTTCTAACAGAGGTCCCAAGTACCTCCTTGGGCTGGACAGAGGTCCCAATCACCTCTGTTGGAACCATATTGAGTTTCGGAGGAGGCACAATGGCTTTCTTGGCGGCAGTAAGCGGCTTGGGGGCAAAGGGAGCTTTCTTCCTAGTGTCCTACCTTAGGACCTTCTTGA